ATTTTGTTGAAAATTTACTTAAACAAGGTAAATAAAGTGAACATATTTTCCAAATATGTTGCAGGTTGATATTTTTGTATTTAAAATTAGTAGCAGAAAGAAGTTTTTCTAAGGATGTTTTCTTTTGGACTGTTTTCAGTCCCAGACCAGACTTAAACAGACCAAACCAGACCAGACTTAAACAGACCAGATCAGATCAGAATTTCTTAGTTATAAAATACACAGAGACCAGACGTTTGCCAGACCAGACCAGACTTAAACAGACCAGAGCAGCAAAATTCAGTCCAAAAGAAAACATCCTAAGTGCATGTTTGAAAGTCATAAGCCTCCGTCTTCTAATTTTTGTACTATTTAAAAATTCTCTAAATACTTATAATTGTATGTTTGGTATGACGAATTTTAATAGTTTTTTATAATATATAAAAACTTTTTTGAGATGCTACAGTGGGTAATATTTGGAAGAAAGTCAGTAGCTTTTAACATTAATTATTCACAACAGCTTGCTATACCAAATAGAACTGAATCAAACAATCAGATTTTAACAAATAGAAATAACCTTTTCCTTTTAAGATCTTTCAATCACTACAAGCTAACAATTATTAAAAAGCTTATAAAGTATCTTTTCAGTTAGTTGTGCACTTGTGCCAAACATACTCTAAGTGGGGGTAAGAGCATTTCCAATGCCATACATAAAAGAAGCATTCCTGTCAAGATAGAGATAAACACATAAAAATAATTAGTTGAAATTTATCCCCTTATTTGAATGGTCTTATATATTTTTGGTATGTTTTTCTTTATAATGTTCCAAAATGTAGAATCCCTAATCACAAGGCCCCCCCAAACCCCAACCACCGAAGACATTTGTGAGGTTGTAAGTTATGGTGACTCAGTGACTCTGTCAGTTCAATGGTAGTAAATCTTGTACCCGTGTGCACCAGAGATCCAGCACACAAGAGCTATAACTTTCACACGACCGTTGCAAATTTTTCGATCCTTGATCAATGTTCCAACTTTCTCACTACTCAACTGATCTGCTAGTCCGGATATGTTTTCTCTTTACAATGTCATAAACTTTGACATTTATGAGGGATACATGTCATAAATGTACCATTTTGTGTTCATGTGTCTCATACATCGTGTCAACTAATTTTTTCACGTTTCCTTGCCGGATACTATGTACATGTCAAACACTTAATTTTTTACTGTCTAGTCCGTACTTTTCACGGAATACGTAATTTTTTATTTCACACGCTGACTTGTGTAATAATAAAAATAAGTAAGGTTTAATTTACTTTTATGACTACATTAGCCGAAGTTACTGTAGAAGATCATTTTAGTTATTTTCACATGATTTTGTTATATTTTATTAATAAAATTACTTTAAATATAATTTATTTCATAATTAACCCGAATCAATCAATCTAGCCACTTCAGTCAGAACTTCATAAATTTCAGCAGAATTGGCTGATTCAAACAATTTGAGAATTACCAAACACGCTCTTTGTGTCAAAACTTCTCTTTTGGGTGTTCGTATTTGATTTTATGGCTTAATGTTACTTTAATGTACTTCTTAAATATGTGAATTTATATTTTCGGTACTAATTTAGGTATTATGAGGAAAGAGTTTTCTTTATCTTCAATAAAGAGATCTTTTGGTAGCTCTGTTTTTCGGCTTATCAGACTTATTAGTCAACTTTTTCACCAAACACGTAACTTTTGATTTCGCGCGCTGAATTGTGTAATAATAAGAAAAAAATAAGGTTGAAGTTATTTTTTTTACTGTATTGGCTGAAATTGCTGTAGATGACCATTTTACCTGTTTTTCCTGGCTGAAGTCTTTATTTTATTAATAAAATATATTTTAAGTATTCCCCCCCATAAATAAGCAGAATTAGTCTATACAGCCGCTTCATCCAAAATTTCATAAATTTCAGCAGAATCAACCGATTCAATCGATTTATGTGTTATCAAAAGTATTATAAATACAAATAAGGACTTCATTTTAGAGCTGGAGAAGTAAAAATTATTTTAAAGTGCGCTTATAGTGGCACAATTCATTTCAATGCTATCTACGTTTTTTCTTTTATATTATTGAAAATGTAATCTCAACAATGTCATCTTAGATTGTTTATTTATAAAAATACCCGAGATCAAAACACCAATGCATTTGCAAATTTCAAATAGCAAATTGATGTTTTTGCAATCCTGAGGTGAAGTGAGACATTGAGATTGTATGCTAAGGGCTAGTCAGTAGTCAGCTAAGGAGTTTTCTGTTTATAGACACTAGTTTATACCGGAGTATGTTTTTATACACGTCTACCTCTAATTGCCTGGATACATATGTGTATGTATAGGCAATTCGTTAAAAAAAACTGCATAAACTGTACGGAAATGTTTTTGTAGCGTGTAAAATAAGTTAATAACGACTCGGCTAAATATTATTTCATCTTTTAACGAAATGTACTTATTTTATAATAATCATTATTCAAGAGGTATTTTAAGTACTATAGAGTGTATAACAACTTTTGCCTTCTAAATGAATTGTAAATTGTCGAACTAAATTGGAATTTTAATCATCCAGATTAAACTAGATAGAACTGAACCAGATTCAGTGAATATAGATCGAACTGGGATCAAATTCCATGAACATAAATAGTAATAGAGTCAAATTCAATTACCCTACAAATCTACGACACACATCATGTTTTTCTTAAGTAATGCGTATGGTTCATAATGTAGGGCTCTTGAAGGCAAGATTCATCCACTGATTTTTTCTCACATTTTGGTCCCCCTCTCCCTTTATCCTCACTGTCGATCATTTATTGCCTCGCCATCTGAGACTCATTGTTTGTGGATAATAACATGAAAAAGTCGAATTACCGATTTTCATCAAACATAGTTTTATAGTGATCAGTTAAAATATTCCTTTTATCAACTTATATATATTCGAACAAGATACCATGCTTATTTATACGAATTAAGAAATGTCTAAAGTCCTAACCCCTATCTTCTTCTGATCAGCTTATCAACTAGTTTCTTTACAAAAATTAAATTGATTTTCTATGCTAAATTGTGTAATAAAAAAATAAGTAAATTTAAAGTTGATGAAGAAAGCAACTTTAGCCTTTTCCATATTTATTTTTGAATTGTAAATGTGTTTTTTTTTACAAATTCTCCAAATAGAACTAAAACAATGTTAACACTCATAAATAGGACTATCATTGTTTTATTCTCAAAATAGGACCCATTCACTCCTATTTTGATAAGTTTTGATCAACTTATTCTTATAATAGGATCAAATAGGTCCTATTTGAGGAATAAAACATACTTAGTCCTATTTTTAAATTTTGTGTATGTTTTGGTCCCATATTAAACAATTTGTGTAAATTTTCTTAACATATTTTTTCCATATTTATGCGGATTCAACTGTTTGAATCATAACTTTAGCCAATTCGGTAAACGGCGGGTTCGAAAACTATACTCTTTGGGTTCTTATATTCCGCTTCAGTTTAAAGGTGGTGGAGAAGGCGTCATAGACTCATACAAGTATACAACAACTTTGATGCAAATTGCTCTTTCTTAGGTGCATTAATATTTTTCCAGCCTGCATGTTAATTTCTTTGATTGACCAAGCGCAAAAGCAAGGTCTAGTAACTAATTTGTTGTAGATTTATTGAAAATTACAGCTTACGTGTTAATTTGGATGGTTCTTAAAACATTTTGTAAATAAGTGTTGTGAATTACTAAAAGTCTAAAATGGTGTTAAAGGAATATTTAATTGTAATTGTTATTATTATGCACTAGTATATTCCACCCATGTGTTGCATGGGTTGTAATATGTAGTTATTGTAAACGGAAAAGCACAAATAGGACTACTACTTTTTAAATTCCCTAAATAGGACTAAACATTATTGATTTTCTACACTAAATATCCCTAAGGGTATTAATTCATAATGAAATGCTTTTATTCATAATAAAATCATAAAAAATCGTAAAAAATATTTAAAAATCGTAAAAAATTATTAAAAATTAATAAAATATTTATAAAATAGTAAAAAAATTGAATTTAAATACGGAGTAAAAAAATTTATTTTTATTTTTATTTTTTTTAAATAATAAAAATAGTAAAAACCCATAAAAAATTAAAAAAAAAATTAGGAATAATTGACAAGAATAATCCCACTTTTCACTAGTATTCTCATAATAATCCCACCTTTTAATAATCCCAAAATAATCTCATCTTTGCACCTCATCTTCTTTCATTGGACCCTGACCATGTTTTTTACTCTTTCTTTGAAAATTATACAAATAATCTCACCTTTCACTTTTTAATTATATTCTTATAAATGTGAGATTACTTATATAAGATTTTTAAAAAAGATAAAAAACTTGGTCAGGGTCCAATGAAAGAAGATGAGGTGCAAAGATGATATTATTTTGGGATTATTTAAAGGTGGGATTATTATGAGAAGACCAGTGAAAGGTGGGATTATTCTTGTCAATTTTTCCAAAAAATTATGGATACCTTTTCCACCGCCTCCCAGCACCACCACCTCCGATTGGTGAAATTTCTTCCACATTTGGTAAAAAAATGTCATCTTTTTCTGAAAATGCCAAAAAGATGGCATAATTACATTTCAATATGCCAACATTTTCATTGAATATGCCATTATTATGGCATTATTCAAAATGTTGGCATATTTTTCTCCGATGATGGGATCTGGTGGTGCTGGGGTGGCAGGGGGTGGCAATGTTTTTTTTTTTACGATTTTTTTTAATTTTTAATTTAAAAAAAAAAACTATTTTTTAATAATAGTTTATTGATTTTTGTATTATTTTTTTACGATTTTTTTTTTATTTTTTTTAATGATTTTATTGTTAATTAAAACATTTCACAAGCTACAAGAGCATATTTGTCTAAACACACATAAATAGTCTTATTAAGGGAATTAAAAAATGTAGTCCTATTTGTGCAATTTTGCCACTTTTTAGTCCTATTTAGGGAATTGACTCTATTGTAAATGTAAATAAGTAAAATATACATTCATGAATCTACATGTAGAATTAAAGTTTAAGTCAACACATGAGTTGGTGATGTCATAATCAAATAAAAATACATATTAGAAATTTAATAAGTGCACTCACTACAAATTATTACGGACTCCCTTGTAGAAGACAATTTTAAGTGACTTTTTCATATTTTCTTCTTCATCGCATATCACAAAGGTTAAACCGAACTGATTTGTCAACCGTTATATTTGATGAAAATGTCACCCCGAAAACGTTGCATATCACAAACTTATATAGATCCAAGCACATTTGATGTATGTCGAGACCTGAGATGTATTGATCATATTATAGCAAAGCTATCTTGCAACCATTTGGCATGAATTTCCAGCCCGGCATCTCTGAGAGCATTTAAAGCCGACCAGTAGAGCCTCTCATCTAACTCAGCCTCAGCCTTCTTCATCTCCTGCAACACTTTAACCAACTCCTCACCTCTATTCATCTTTGAAAAAACCCCAACCATTAGCCCACCCATTGCCCTATCAATCTTCCCATCACCGTTCTTTAGCTTCCTAAAGTCATTGTAGTATTCCACGCATCTCTGGTACTCCTTGGCCTTGTGATATGCACTTATTATGCTTGTGTAACTAACTCTGTCGGGCAAAACTCCACGCCTCTCCATCTCTTTCCATGTCTTCTCCACTTGCCTCAAGTTCAATGGATTCCTGTGTATGTCCAAGAGAGAATTGTATATCCACACGTTGGGCTTGCATCCTCTCTTTTTCATCTTAGCCAAAATCATCATTGCTTCTCTATGCCTTCCAGTTTTCCCATACATATTGATCATGGTAGAGTATGAAACACTACAATTAACAAACCCCTTTTGCTCCATATCTGCAAAAGCCGCTTCTGCCTTTGAATATAATTTGATTCGGCAGTAAATGTTTAAAATCAAAGCATAGGTCACCTGGCCAGGCTCACACCCCTCAAATTGAAGCTCTTCTTCAAAGACCCTCACGGCTTCCTCAGGCCCTAATTTTCTCGAGAAAGCATTCACAATGGCGCAAGAAATGCAATCGGAAACCCGAACGTTTAACCGTTTCATCAACGAAATGACAGACAGGGCCTTTTCTAGCATTCCCTCCTTGTCAATGTACATCAACACAAGTTTCATAAACAGAGAGGGATCACTACTCAGCATTTTCTTTCTCACTGCTTCTTCTAAAAGCTCCTCTGCCATTTCTACTTCTCTGGATGTCGCGAAAGCGGATATTAGGGATGAGTAAAACTTATGATCCTCTGGAACTCCTTTGCTTGTCATTTCCCTGAAGTGGTCGAGGGATTCGGAAGTGCGCCCCATTTTGCCCAGAGAATTGCATAAACAAAGGTAAATCTTTGAATTATATTGTGTGGACTCCAGTCTTCTTCCATGTTTAAACTCTTGGAAGAGCGAAACAACTTCTTCATACTGTCCCATATTGTGATATGCCTCCATGGTGGTGCAATAGCACCCAGGCTCCAGAACAAGCCCACTACTTTTCATCCTTTGATACAACAGAATAGTGGTACTGTACATATGGAGTTTGTTGTAGCCTCTCATGGCATGTTCAAAGGCAAGAGGTGTCTCTTGGAGAAAAAAGGCAGATTCAAGCAAAGTATTTACAATTTTGAACTTCCTAGCTCTAGCACAGCTACTAATCAGTCTACAAAATGTGCCACTATCAGGGATTACATTGAATGCCCGAAAATCTTGAGCCAATGAAAAGATTGAGCTCCATTTTCTCAATCTCATGAAGTACCTAGTAAGAAGAGTGAGGGTTGATTTTTCAGGGATAAACCCGGGATTTCCCTTGGCTTTCGCATAAAAATCACTCCCACTTTCAGCAGTCTGAGGGTTTTTTATCAATCTAAAGATAATGTTGTTCAGATCTTCAGGCTGGTATTCGGAGAGAGTGAGATCCATTATTGTGGGTTGGGACTTGGAGGCGGATGATAATGCATTATTGTCTTCAAAAAGCGGGGATGGACAAGTGGAGGATCTTGCTGCAATGAGGTTGAGATCTCGGGAGTTGAAGCGGGGGAGAGAGCACAATGGAGTTCTTCTGCTGGTGCTGATTTCCTTTGAGGAGTTGCAAGGAATCCATGCCAGTGATGCCACAGACCACCAGTCTGGAGAACTGGAAAGTGCCATGGATCAACCCCTAAATAAAATTATAAAACCTTTTTAGAATGAACAATCTCTTTTTTTTATTTACACATAATATTAATCTATCTATCATTCTATCATTATATAAAAGTTAAATGTTTTGTGAATGCTATTCCCGCCCAAACATCCCCATGGAATAGAGCAGCATGGCAGCATGCGAGTCCATCAGATAAAAGCCTCAGCTACATTGTATACTAGCTAAAAAACGTATCAGCTACATTGGAGACTTTTATTACAAAAAAACTAAAATAAAAAAATAAAGACAACATATACAGTAGAAACGTTGAAGAAAGTTAATCAATGAACACACTATAAACAACCCCTATCAAGTCTCTACAGCCTATTTCTTGGAGAATGTGTACAAAATATACATAAAATATAATTAAATTTGAAAGAAATACAGCCCATCAAATCTAGCCAGCCTATTCATTGGGACGGGTGTATTTTCAACCAATCAAATCTCGCCAATCTGTTCTGGACATGTGTATTTTCTTTATGAAAAGATCATTCATTTTTTAAAACTACTACTACCTAGCAAACCCTTTCCGAATGAATACAACTCAATCCTTCTGCCGCTTCGCATCCTCTTTTTTATACTCAATCTGGATATGAAAAATATCATCTTATGTGTAAGTGATGTGTACCATCTTATGAAAAATATCATCTTATGTGTAAGTCATCTGGATATACTCAATCTTTCCACTAATATTACTCTCTTAAGAGTTACGGATAGACTTGATAACTCTTAGTTACTATAATTATGTTCAAAGTTCCTGTGATGAAGTAACCATGATGTAAACTTTGAACACAGTTATAGTAACTATAGGTTACCAAGTCACATTTTTGTCCACTTTTGTATTAGTAATATTTTAGGAAAAACTCTTATGGTAAACCAGTTACTTTAGTTGAAACGTATTTATAGTGAGAATAGAATGTACAGAATAAAAGTCTGCTTGATTTAGTTGATACTTTTAAAACTCCAATCCTATGTGGACACATTTATCTTTCAGACCCGGAAGGATATTTATCTAGTTCTGAAGTCCTGATCTATAAATTCCTTAATTCAAGCAGAAGTATATATACCGACACCAATAATTTCATAAATTAACGATTTTAATAAATAAAAAAAGTATAACAGAATCTATGACAAACCTGCCAAAGTGCCAAGGCTCAGACTGAAGCAAGGGAGCAAGCAACCTGGAGTTTTCCCCTTTGATTTTGATTTTTGAAGGCAGGAGTAAGCAAGCAGCGATTCAATGAACTAATGAAGTAAACAAGTATTAAAGCAAGTCTGGCTGAATGAGAGTGAGCTAATCAGCAATAAAGGAGATTATACCATTTAGATTTACCTTTTTTGGTAGCTTGTGTAGTGACTGCTCTGTTCCTCATCTGATTGCAAAATAGTAAGAACTTAGTGGAAGAGAATCAAAAGAGATGAACAATCGCTGGCCGCTGCATAGCAAATGAGTCTCGCCTCTCGAACTCTCGTTCCAGGCTTATGAAAGCGTTATCTGCTATTCAAGTAGTTTATGGAGTATAATGTTTTGCCTAACTTCTTTTTGTTTTTAACACCCTACCTTTTTTACTATAACGTTTATGACCCAATATTATTAAGCGTTTAACATTTTGGCCGATTTATTTAAATGATAAGTCATTGAGTAGCACTTTTGTACGGGATAGAATATTACTACATTCGTCTCAGTTAGGCAAAACATTATACTCCATAAACTACATTTTATATGTCTTAGTTTGACTTGACACAATCAATATATATATAAAAGAGGAACTTTTTAAGAGCATACAATACGTCACATAATCCTGCCATGTCATTATATATAACAATTATTTAATTATTTTTTATACCTTTTGTTTTTATTAGATTCTATTTTTGATTGCATATTGATATGGAAACAAAAATCCTTAGAAATCCACCTTAATTATTAATTTGGTAAGCTTTAAATAATTAAAATAATTTTTGGTTATCAAAGTGAAATTCTAATAACGATATGATCACTAATTTACATAAATTTACTAAAAGGAATTAAATAGAAACAAATATGCAAATTAGTTTACTTATTAATTTGACACCTATTAATAAATTAGTAAGCTTCAAATAAATAAATAATTAGAAATGAAATTAAAAATTATAACCAACATAAAGTATATATATTTTCGCAAGTAAATACGTTTAGCCTAGCGAAATAAGTAAATATTTTTTGTTGTATCTTTATGTTACAACTAAAATTTAAATATGCCTTCACTTTTAAAATAGATTCCTAATCCAAATTAGAAAATCTTGATATGTTTACAAATTCATACTTTTATTTTAATAAAATGTTTTTAATTGGATTGATTTCAGTTTCAGATTAAATCAGATTAGATCAAATTTTAATAATCATAACAATTATAATAATAAGTCACATAAAAAACAGACATCTACTAGACCATATTAATTTATACCAAATAGAACCTGAAATTTTAATTCAAATAAGACGTCCTTATTAATGAGTAAAATGTAAGATCTAACAATTAAGAAATAGAGATTTTTTTTTAATATTGGGTTCATAACAATTATGTTTACTGCTCATGTAGAAGACCAATTTAACTTTTTTTTCATATAATTTTTTCTTTCTTTCACAGATGGAATATATTTCACATATATTTCACATATATTTTTCATGATTCAGGAGATTCCACATATTTAACCAGAATTCAATCAATTTCAACAAAATAAGTTAATTCTATTTATTTTAGCATTATCAAACAGACTCTATATTAGACTAAGTTTTTTTTTTCTTTTAAATCACATTATATGTGATCTGAAAGAAATTAAATTTCAAATTAGCTATATTACATACTGCTCGTGCATCGCACGGGCTTGAAAGCTAGTTATTAATGAAATGACTGAAAAAATAAAAGTTGTGGTTGAGGTTTGAGGCATAATAAAGTGAAATGGTGTAGGCCACATATTTATTTCCAAAAAAGGAAATGAGACACTTATTTTGGGACAACCAAAACAGGAAAGTAGGACAGATAAAATGGGATGAATGGAGTTTTTAAATTTTAGAATTAGATAATTAAAGAAAAAATGATATTTACATTACTATAAGAGTTTTCCCGGACAAAAATATGTTTGGTTATGTAGTTGGACAAAAAATATAACTAGTCATTTTATATAAATAACTGGACAAGAATCACAGTAATTTATTTGAGACTAATAAGTCACTCGTGAATGATGAATCAATGGGAACTATTCAATAAGTCACATTTTTGTCTTTGAAGTTTAATTTATTAATATTCATAGAAAAAGGACATAAATTAATATAAACTTCATTTGAATTATATTATAAGGTAATTCAAATTTTTCTATGAGCTAAGTGAGGATATTATCAGTATTTGCATCATGGTAGAAATAAAAAATCACAAAATACTGCTATCTCTGTTCATAATGGTTGTCTTATTTTTAGTTTGGGACTATTAATAAAGTGATCGAAAAGTAAAATTTATGGTTGAGATTTTGATAGAATAAAGTGAAAGATATTGACCACGAATTTTCTATCGAAAAATGAAACATGACATTCAATTTGGGATCATAAAAAAAGAAATGTAAGACAGACATAATGGAGCGGAGCGAGTACATACAAAGTACTATATATACTACTCCCTCCGTCTCGCTATGATTGTCCCATTTTACCATTTCGGTCCGTCCCACTAAGATTGTATCATATCTTATTTGATAAAGTTTGTGTGGTTCTAAATCGTTCCTACTTTATTTTTATTTTACCAATTCAATATCAATCACATAAACCCACTTTTATTAATAACCGTGTCACATTCTCTTGTCTCAAACTTAGGGGGACAGAGGTAGTAAAAAAGTTCTTCGTGATTCGAAGGGATGAATAGGGGGTGCTCCTCGCCCCCGCCCCCCTCTAAATCATTCGAGCCTCTAAATCTCTTCCCTTTAAACATCTTTAACATCATTGGGTAGATGTATTTAGGGGTGGGGAATATACCGAAACTTCGGTATACCGGGCTTACCATATCAAAAAACACCGAATTTACCGCAATGTTAGGTATACCGACACTTTTGGTACGGTATGATACCGTACCGAATTACTTCGGTATGGTATCGGTATATATTTTGGAAATAAACGGTATACTGGTATACCGTCATACCATAATTCCAAGCCAATGTTTTCCTTAAACTTATAAAAATAACTAGAAACACAACCCTATTTCGAGGATAAATCACTTTATATCCACGTTTCTTGAATTATTTGTACTTTTTATTGAAGATCGATGTTATTTTAAATATATTTATGTTGTTTAAATTATTTTAGCAGAATGTGTTGTTATCTTCATATATCATGTGTTGAAATATCTATACATTTTTATAATATTTTTTATTCAAAGTTGAATAGAACACAAATAGGTTATCTCATTGGTATTTTATACCGTAGTAATTAAATTCGTTAATGATTTTAGTATATCACTATTAACACTTATTTTCTTTATTTCATTTGACATATAATAATTTGTTATATTAAATCATGATAATTTACCGATACCGTACCTTACCATACCGAAATTTCAGTATACCGAAACAAGGTATACCGAAATTTCGGTATGGTAACGGTATGTATTTTTGCATACCGAAAGTTTATGGTATGATAAAGGTATGCGATAAAATATTCGGTATACCGTACCGAACCACCCCTAGATGTATTGTTCGAACATTATTTGTTATCGTATATTTTTCTCTTTCTAAACTATCAATTCAGTTTTTGTCTTTACATACCTTAGCTAGGGGTGGCCAAAAGACCCGGTCCCGTTGGTCCATTCCGGAATGTTCTGGTTCCGTTCTGAAGTTGTCCCGTTATATTTAGGACACATTATTTCTGTCTCGTACCGGTCCCGAACCATTCCAAAACAAAATGGGACCAGGACAAGTAAAATATATTCCTTTCCGTCCCGTTGTTTAGAATCCAAAATTGAACTTTGTAGTAGCCTAGTAGGTTAGTGAGTCTACACACAACTCATTATGTAATCCAAATAATAACAATTATCCTTTTTTCACAATCGAAATACAAATGATTATTCAAATACTACGTAGTAGTTGTTTAACAATAAAACACCTGAAAACTCTAAAGTGCCTAGTTTTTTTTACACCAGGGGGTCTGGGGAGGGGTCTGGAGTAATTAGAGCTAAAACTCACTCAATTGAGTTTCTAACCATTATGTGCCTAGCAGGTTTCGAACTCGAGACCTCTCACTAGGCACAGTAACCTCACAACCACCTGGGCTGGAATGCTTGGTTACTCCAAAGTGCCTAGTATCACATACTACGAACTATCATCTATTTAAAAAAAAAAACGATTTTAACTCCCACAGGCTTCACTTCGTATAGTATTCTTTTATCATTTTTTTATAGATTTCTTGATAGATTTTTGTGTTAGAGTTTTTTTGTTGCAACTTTTGTTTCATGCAGCTAATATGGTAAGTTGCATTTTTTTCTCACAATTTTCTAGATTAGCTATAGTTTTTTTTAATTTTGAAATAGCTTTTTCTTGTTTTTGCGATTGCAATTTTTTCACTACATTTTTTTGGAATTTACCGGGACACGCCAAGTCCCATTCCGTCCCGGACCATGCCCACCCCTACCATCAGCAGTATTCCGTGAATTATTCTAAAGTCATTGCTTGTCCTGAGGGAGGCGGGGGGCAACATTGGTGACCGCGCGCGCCCTAGATCCGAAAAAAAATAGGCCCACTTTTTTGCATATATAGTGTGAGTAGGCTTCTTTTTATATTAAAGTTCAATTCATTATATCTAATGTTCAATTAAGGAAAGGAAAAGGGTCAAATAGGCCATCAAACTTACATAAAAAGGTCAAATAAGCTCTTACTTATATAGAAGGCTCTGTTCGGCCGTCACCATTGGGGCAGTTCCCGGTGGAATTTTTTGATGAAATTTTTGGTGCATTTTATTCTTTAAATCTAGTTTACTCATACCAAAGTTCAGCTAACAATTCAATCGGGAAGGCATTCAAATGAATTCTTGAAGATAACTGCGCAGTTGAATGCCTTCCCGATTGAAGTTTTAGCTGAAATTTGGTATGAGTAGACTTCTTTTTTCATTTTAAACTCAATTAATTAGGCCTAATATTTAATTTTTGTTGACATTTTGAAAGAAAAAAATCGAACATAAGTAAAAAGACTTAAATCAAGTCAAGTTTTAAAAAAGAATATACATTTATTTTGAGTTGACCAGTTGTATTTCTAAAGCAATGCAATTGTTGTTGAATCAATAAAAGGCATGTCTCTTCAATTTTCATATCTCTTTAGCTTTTAATGATTTTTTATTCCCTTTAAGCGATTATTATATTATTTCTGATTTTGTTTCACATTATTCTGTGAGAAACATTCAATGTAATATTTTTCTTTTTATGTATTACTTGTGTTCTTACTTTTACCCAAATATGTAATTTACATAATATTAAAGTAATTTTGCCTTTATTTTATGACCTTTACTAAATATTTTTGTTATAATTCATATTTGAAATATTTAC